GATGCCGATAAAAAAGCAGATAAAATGGGCAAACATGCATCATTTTATGATGAAATACAGTAATAGGATAGCCATGGATCCAAGTTTGATGTGATTTTATACTGAAATGCAACCCAGTAGATTTCAAGTCGTATATCGATACAAAAAAAACAGAAAAAAGAGCATAAATATGGAGGGCTCTTGGTAGAGAAGATATGACTTGAAGAGTAGAAAGGCCTGAGGTCGATTAAATTTCAATCTCAGCCTTGAATAAAGCATGCCTGGTCTTAGTCATTCAAAGATATACAAGTAAGGTCGCGTTGTAAAGTGTAAATAAATACTATTTGAAAAACGTCACGAATTAACCTGCAGAGATAGGTTGCAAATTATTTTGTATCCAGTATCTTGAAGAACTACATCAGCACAGGCCTTTTAAAAAAACAGTAAAAACTTGATAAAGTTACAATAAATACAACGCCCAATGGAATGGTCTTTGGTGGCACATTATTAATATAAACTTATATGACGACATACCGACGATAATGCAGCCTTTCAATAGCATACTTAGCACCGATTGCAACGTTATTGAAAATGCAGAAGCCGCACGGCTCTTTGAGCATCGCATGATGCCCAGGAGGACGGATGAGGCAAAAGGCGTTACGCACATCCCCTCGATGTAAGGTCATGAGAGCCTCAATAACCGCGCCGACTGCCAGACGAGCAACTTTGTCTGTATTCTGTTTGACCGGTGAAAAATGTATTGAAATTACATGCAAACAACAATTAGGATTTGGTTCAATATATTTAAAGCAAAATCATATAATTGTAAAAGCTAGAAACCATAAAATTAAAAACTTTAAAAGTTGGATGCCGTGCTGGGAGAACTACTTCAAACTGGATTCCCGTTAGTAAGTAATAGACAAGATAAAATTTCATTTTAAGGGTTACAAGCATATCATGCTGAAGTAGCCTTTATAATCTTTTTAAAATCATTAATGAAGAAAATTCGGGCTTTTGAAGAATATCCTAATGTATTTATATTGGCATACGCTCCATTTTGTTACAAGAGGCGGAAGGAAGGGGTTCATAAGTTTATGAATTACTACAAGGCAGTGGCCTTCTCCGTCACATGTAGGACCAAAGCTCTGCATAGATTCGTTTAAGTCGCAAAGTGGTGCGTCGAGGACTTATTAGCAAAAACCTACTCACAACTCCAAGGCAACCCTCTCTCGGCTTCCAATGAGATCAACTTACGAATCCTTTCCACTGGCCTCTTAAAGCTAAATCAAAGGTATGCTAAGATTATAAAACTATATACTAGTTATACGAAAGGTAGATTTTACAAATGATTTCCTGTGAAAAAAATTATATTTATGGGTGAAAGAAGGGGCTGCAATGAAGGTAACAACAAAATTCAAAAATTGTAACAAATGGGAATTAGAATTTCAAGGAAAATAAGTAGGCTTACTAAAAATTATAAATAGCACCCTAAACTTAATTCACACATATTAAAAGTCCCAATAGCTCAATGAGTAGATATACAGTATCTATATCATATCATCTCGATTCACTCTGTACATAATGCACATACACACACCTTTCAGTTTCAGCTACACCTTCCACATTAATCACAATCTTACAGTCCGAATAACTGTCTGTTTTGGCTATCCACTTTAAATAAGCCCTCCATCCAAATGCAAAATGATCGGTAACCGACAGTTTTCTTCGCACCTATAAGAATCTGCAGAGTGATTAATCTTTATCGATACATTTTGATAGCAGTTATACTTCCCCATTACCCTGACAGGCGATCCACATGTTCTTGTCAAACGGACAGCTCTTTTGTCCCAATTTAGGCCTTCTTAGCTGGAATGCATATCATAATTTATCCCGTCAACTCCCTACCTGATACAGTGAATCAATATACACTTTTATGATGACCCAGATATTTAAGCAGAGCGCTTTGGGAATGCCGAGATATGAAAAAGCAGAGTAGCGCGATAAAAGGATTACTTTTTGAAAAAATGAAAAGTAACTATATGAGGCTGTTGGTATAGGAGATATAAAGGAGAACACATTAAGAGATGTCCTGAAAGAATTCACAAAGTGAAGCTCGAGGTTGAAATTACTTAATAAAAATGGAATGGTGCGAACGGCCTAGACAGTTTAAAAGCTCTGTTTGATTCTATACAGTCCATATGGCAAAAATGCTGCACTTTTATTGATAGTTTATAATTCAAAATTTCGTAAAACAGCGACAAACCTTGCTAAAGTACACTGAGTCGAACTTCTTGCTAAGCTCTTTGCGTTCATCATCATTGGCAATTCCGCTCTCTTTTAGTGTTTGTATGAGCTCCATATTATGACATAATAAAAGATCGTCATCAGTCGCAAGTTCAGCCTATAAAAAGAATGTAGTGGCATCTCAGTACCTTAATTTCTACACATCTCTGGATAAGCCCATGCAGCTGACACGCAGAGTAAACACTGGTAAGTCGATCAGGACACTCTACATAATTGTTATCCCAGGGATTATTGTGTAAAATAGAGTCCTCTAGATATACAAAGCCTGTGCTGAGAGAATATAAGGACAAATAGATTTACCCCCTAGTGGCGCATGGTCTGTGGCGAAAAGACTAAATTGATGAATTACAAAAGATAATCAACCATACGTCTGAAAGACCTAAGTTTGCAAAGGTAGAAGATAGATCTTCATCGCCAAATGGCGCTCTGGCTCTACTTCTAGTTCGAACAGTCTACCCATTAGAATATGGCTCAAACACATACCAATAAATCCTCATTAGCAGACATTTTCGATGAAATAGGGAATATTCATTAATAAATGAGAATAATATACGGCAAATGAGCATTCAGCGTTAAAGGTAAGACAGTAGCGGAAGGCAGTAGCAACAAGGGAGTTTCAGTCAAAATGCCGCCACAAAATTCAAATAGAAAACATTTTTAGATGTTTATATGCCTATTTTTGCACTTTAAGTCATTATTTTTATTTTTATACTAGTTTATATTGGTTCTTTTATTGATTGGGAAAGGGTCTGGGTAATTTAATGAGAGTTTTATGCTTACAGCATTGTGATGGCTGGACAGAGCGATCTTGATCGACAGATTGAACAACTTCGCGAATGCAAGCTTATCACTGAAGACGAAGTTAAGGCTTTATGCGCTAAAGCTAGGGAGATTCTTATAGAGGAGAGTAACGTTCAATGTGTGGACTCTCCTGTTACTGTAATTACTTTGGCTTCTGTTAATTAATTGTTGATAGGTTTGTGGAGATATCCACGGTCAATTCTACGACCTTATTGAATTGTTTAAAGTTGGTGGAGACGTACCAAGCACGAATTATTTATTTCTTGGCGATTTTGTTGACAGAGGCTACTACAGCGTGGAGACTTTCCTACTTCTCCTAGCCCTTAAGGTTAGGTACCCAGATAGAATAACTCTAATCCGCGGAAATCACGAAAGCCGGCAAATCACAATGGTTTATGGTTTTTATGATGAATGTATGAGAAAGTATGGATCTGCGATGGTTTGGAAACAGTGTACAGAAATATTTGATTACCTTTGTCTCTCAGCGATTATCGATAACAGGGTAAGAATTAGGAAGCACATGCTTTATATAATTCACTTTTATACATTTTTTATGCCTGCACTTCCTTACTGTTTTTACAGATTTTCTGCGTTCATGGGGGCTTGTCACCATCAATTACATCCCTGGACCAAATTAGGACAATTGACCGAAAGCAAGAAGTTCCACATGATGGCCCCATGTGCGACCTATTGTGGTCAGATCCCGAAGACACGACGGGATGGGGAATGAGCCCACGGGGAGCTGGCTACCTCTTCGGTAGTGATGTTGTCACTAGTTTCAATCAGGTAGTCAACTTTATTATACTGCTACAAATTTTGGATTTAAAGCTTATATCCACCTATCCTATGCATATGATTTCCTGCTTTATTATCAATCCCTGCAACTATTTTTATTGCGTTACTTCCAATTACCTTTTATTATGATTTAAATATAATTTTGTTAGTGAACGATTATTCTTCCATATCATGCGGATTTATTTGCTGGCATTTATCTATAGGTTACCCATCGTATAAACGCTTCTTTACTTCTATAATTTTCCTTATCTAATTTTATTATCAATACCGCATTCACTTTTTAATTTATTCAAAATTTATAAATCCTTCATTACCTTAGTGGACAATGCTCCTGACCGCTGTCAGTGCCTTATCCTGCTTTTTCAACACGTTCCTCTTTATATTTCACTTTCTTAAGAAAACTAACGATTTTCATGCATTGTTTTGTTTAGTGTATTTTGTTGTCCGGGCTCCAAAACCTTCAGCTATGCGCTGATTATCAAAATAGCATATAATTAATTCCGTTTCATTTCACTAACATTTCCTAATGTGTATTTTATATATAATGCCATTGCTAAATTAAAATTTCGTGCGCAATTATCACAAAACATTCCTTATAGACATGAGTTGTATTTTATACTCGACATTGTACTGCTTAATAAGCATTTCCTAAACATAGCCGTATTGCTTGATCATGTCTCATCTACTTGGCTTATATTATCTGCCTCTTGCTTAATTTGACAAATAGGACTACTAGCACTTGCTTTTAACTCGATTTCAACATAAAATCGGTCCCAAATTTCGCCTCTGCTCAATATGTAGATTTCGTAATCCTCCTTACCACCTTTTCATATGGGAAAATTTTTCAACGTTACTTCCACATACTTAACATTCCTACTGTCTTCCTTTTATTAAAACAGCGATGTCGGCTAATTAATACGACGCTCTTTTTGAAAGCATTTATTGAGCTATCGTCTTCAATTGCTGAAGTAATTAACCTGTGGCTTAAGGTTTAGACAGGACTTTACTTATCCGAATACTTTATTTGTATATCGACTACTCTACACCATCAAAAGGTTTTCAGGGTCATCCGCTATTATTACTCAGATTCATCTATTTTTAAAGTTCGATATCTCTTTGTTTTGAGACTAATAGTAATTATACTATTTAGGGCAACTTTTCTAGTTAAAATAAAACAAAAAATATAAGATGAGATAGTATTTTTACACGGCTACTCGGTAGACATAAATCGTGAACGTACTTGCATTTTAGGGCCTCTTAAATAAATGCCTTAATGTATTTTTTGGATAAAACTCTACCTGAAAAGACTACCAACAGATATTTGGTTGTAAATCGATTACATTTCTTTGATGGCAAACAGATAATTCATTAAGCTTCATATATAAATTTTTTTTGTGTTTGCTCGTTTCCTGTGCTGTTGTTTCCTATTACCATTCATGTAACCTACTTTTAGTATTTCATAAAATTTGGAATACAGTGTATTATCCATTCTTGTTGGCCTTCATTAATTTTCAAAATATTAATATTTTGAGGCACGAACGATAATTAGTTACATTTTTTACTTACGAGCCAATAAATACCTTAAGTTATTGTTGGCTCATTTCTTTCTTCCAGTCTTTTTATTCAGAGCAATGGGGTTCGACCCATTGTGCAAACAAATTTCGTTGAAAAATTATTCTTAACCTGAGGCGAGTCATATTATTATTACATTATTTGAAAAATATTAAAGAACATGTGCATTGGGTTAAGCAAACTTGAACTATTGATATATTCATAAAGCTGGTTATTTATAAAAACCTCTGTCCTGTTATTGGTTGCGGGCACGGTAATTTCTCCTAGATGTCCCAATTCAATATTTAAGAGCTGTATTCATTCTATTTCGTTTAAGA